CAAGGCCAGCCGTTCAACCCAGGCACGGGGGGTCCGGGGTTTGGAGAATGGCCTTGGGGGCCTGCGGCGCCACCCCCGCCGCCGGCGCCACCAGCGCCTGGAACCGGGTCGTCGAAGTTTCCGGCCTCGATTCGTTTTAGGAGGACCTGGTGGTCGGTTTGATCAAGGACGGCGAGGGGAGCATGGCTGTTGGATGGGTGCGGGTAATGTCAGATGGCGTGGTCGTACCACGGCCACGGCAGGGGGAGGGAGATTGCTACGAAGGGCCCCCGACACGCGTGTACAGCACTGACGATGGAAGCATGCGAGCGCCAGGTACGGGAAGCAGTGTTGTCGACCCGCGGTACGGCTGTGCGCATGAAAACCGCACTGATTTGCTACTTGTTGCTGACTCGACGTTAAAAACCGTTCCAGTCTCTGCTCAGTACCGTCAAACATTCCGTACCGGTCCAATCGACGACGCGGACGCCTTGCTTCTGCGGTCATAGGCCAGCCAACCAAAACCTGGCGGGGAAGTTATCCAAGCGTCCACATTTCCAAACACCTCAAGACAGAGGCAACAAGCAGTTGAAGCGAACATGACTCTGCTGTAGGAAGAAGATCTGACAGCGGCTTGTGACCACCGCCTCATGTCACGAACACCACCATCTTACGGTACGGTATCTCCTGTAACCTCACGTGAAGGTTGGCCATAGTGTCGGTGGCGTAGCGCCTGACGATGCTGTTCACCACGGGGTTGGGGTTGCTCATGCTGTAGAGGGGTCGCTCGTGGTCCGGCTGCCCGTCCGGCTTGCTCTCGTAACCCAGCAGCTGCCACTGGACGGCCTGCAGGCCATTCACCACCTGCACCGGCGACCGCGGTCGACGGGGCAGGGCGGAAGGAGAACCCAAGCAAGCGGGGTGAAACACCGAGCGGGTAAAAGAAGAGGCGGTCGCTGGGCAACGCACACAGAAGAAGATAGGCATAGATATGGTGTGACGTACAACATACAGAGTGTCTTGCCAACCGCCGACAAACAATCGCAGATATTAGGGCGGGGGGGGGGGGGG